AAAATGGATGAAAGACCTAAAGATTAGGCCTGAAACAATAAGTCTTCTAGATGAGAGTATAGGCAGTCCACTCTTTGACATCAGTTTCAAAAGAATCTTTTTGGACACCATAACTCCTCAGATGAGGGAAACAATAGAAAGAATAAACAAATGGGACTTCATCAGACTAAAGAGCTTCTTCAAGGCAGAGGAAAACAGGATTGAAACAAAAATACAGCCCACTAATTGGGAAAAAATATTTACAAGTTATTTATCCGACAAAGGGTTAATCTCCATAATATATAAAGAACTCACACAACTCAACACCAAAAAATGAAACAACCCGATCAAAAAATGGGCAGGGGACATGAACAGACATTTCTCCAAAGAAGATATACGGATGGCCAATAGACACATGAAAAGATGCTCATCATCACTGATCATCAGGGAAAATGCAAATCAAAACTACACTAAGATATCACCTTACACCTGTTAGAATGGCAAAAATATCCAAAACCAAAAGTAACAAATGTTGGATAGGTTGCAGAGAAAAAAGAACCCTCATACACTGTTGGTGGGAATGCAAACTGGTGCAGCCACTGTGGAAAACAGTATGGAGATTTCTCAAAAAGTTAAAAATAGAAATACCTTATGACCCAGCCATCCCACTACTGGGTATCTATCCAAAAAACTTGAAATCAGCAATTCCAAAAGTCCCACGCACCCCTATGTTCATCACAGCATTACTTGCCATAGCCAAGACGTGGAACCAACCTAAGTGCCCAGCAACTGATGATTGGATAAAGAAGATGTGGTATATATATACAAAGGAATACTACTCAGCCATAAAAAGGATAAAATCATCCCATTCACAACAACATGGATGGACCCTGAAGGTATTATGTTAAGTGAAATAAGCCAGACAGAGAAAGACGAACTCTGTATGACTCCACTCATAGGTGGAAGTTAACATTTAGACAAAGAGAACTGATTGGTGGTTACCAGGGGAAAGGGGGGTGGGGGGAGGGCACAAAGGGTGAAGCGGTGTACCTACAACATGACTAACATCAATGTACAATGGAAATTTCACAAGGTTGTAAACTATCATAATCTTAATAAAAAGAAAACAAAAACCAAAAACCAAAAAAAAGCCAAGTTCAGAGTTCCATAAGGTGTCATTTTCCTTCAGCCCCCAAAACTTCCTTTAACACTCATTAAAGTGCAGCTCTCCTGCCCATGAATTGTCTCAGCTGCTGTTTGATGGAAATTTCTTGCCTTTATCTTTTTTTTTTTTTTTTTTTGCTGAGAAAGATTTGCTCTGAGCTAACAACTGTGCCCGTCTTCCTCCACTTTATATATGGGTTGCTGCCGCAGCGTAGCTGATGAGTGGTGTAGGTCTGTGCCTGGGATCTGAACCCGCGAACCTAGGCCACCGAAGCAGAGCGCATGAACTTAACCAGTATGCCACCAGGCCAACCCACCTTTATCTTTTTGAAGTGTCTTTTTCACTGGATGAAAAATTCTAGGGGGACAGTTTTCCTTTGAGCATGTTAAGGATGTTTCATTGTCTCCTGCTGTCAGTGTTTCTCGTGGAAGTTCTGTGCTCATTCTTTGTTCCTCTGGACGTAGTATGCCTTTTCCTCCTGTTTTTCCTTCTTCTCTTCATCCTCGGTTGTCAGAATGTGGGTGTCACGTATCCTGGTGAGGACCCTTTTCTGCCCGCCTTCCTCTGGGATTCCCCAGTGCTCACAGGTTAGTGTGTGGCTGGGGAGCCTGTCCCAGCGGGCCCAGCCTTTCCCCCTGCGCTGTCCAGTCTGCTGTAAGGCTGGGGTGTTCATTTCCAACATCTTAGTTTTACTTCTCTCCTCATCATGTGCATGGTTGTCTTTAATCCCGGAACATATTTATAATAGCTGCTTAAAGAATTTTTCTGTTAATCCCACCACTCTTTGTCTCTGTGATGCTGTTTTTTCTGCGGCACAGAGGTCACGTCTTCTGCTTCCTGGTGCATTTCCCTCGGTGTCAGACATGGTGACCACTGCATGGATGAGCGTCGGGATGTGTTGTCCTTCTCACACCAGTACAGCCTCTTGTGGCGGCAGTTGTCCTTGGAGAGCAGCGTGGTCCTTCCTAAGCTTGTGTGGAATCTTGACGGGTCTAGGATGGCCTTCCCAGGAGGGCCAGTTTGGGACCTATTATATGGCGTCGCCCCACTCGTCTCCACTGGTTGCCCTGGTGGTCCCTGTGGACGCTGCGCTGGCTGCTGGGAGCCTGCCCAGCCCACAAGTTCCTCCCCTGGCCTGGCCCGGCCTACTGTGTGTTTGCCGCAGACTCATCAGCCAGTGTCGAGGGGTCCCCCATGTAGCTTTTGGGAGCTCCCTGCTCTGCAGTACCCTGCCTTATAAAGCCCACCAGGTGCTCAGCTTCCCAACTCTGATCCTTGTCTCCCCAGCATGGCCAGGCTGCTGTGCTCTGCTGGGGTCCACCCTCCCTGTGCAGGGGTCTCGAAGGCGCCATAGGGAGAAGCCGGCAGTGGTTGGGCTCATCTCCTGCAGACACGTCTCTAAGGGACCATGGTCCTGCACTGCACCAAAGGATATTTTAGAGATTTATTTATAGTTTTCAGTCACGGGGATTAAAAAATCTATGTGTCATTGTATTAGAACTTTTTCTACTTTTGTTACTATCTATTGGGTCCAGATTTCTCATCCCTCTTTCTTTTACCCCCAGCTTTGAATGCCAACAGTGGGTGATGAATACTTGACCCAGTAGTGACTCCTCCTGGCCTTGTCCTTCCCTCTCAGCATGAAGAGGGCGCAGATCAGTCCTGGCCAGCTTGCTACTTAGGATCATCAGTGGACCCAGGGCCAGCTGTGGGAGGCACTGGAATGGAAACGCAGCCAGGAGGGGCCCTGGAGAGCACTCACCACTTTCAAGTAGGTCTGGTCTTGCGCTCACAGGCAGTGGTTTGCATTGGACCAGGACTTCTTGAATGTCCACAATGAAGGTTTGCTTGGTTTTGGAACCAGTGGCTTAAGTTAACCCATGTGATCTCTCTCGGAAAGTAGCTTCTATGAAATACCCCCTATACACTGGAGCATGGCCCTGACTCAGATGCTGGCACACAGTCTACACATGGCATCCCCTCTCTGCATGTGGGCCCTCCCTCGTTGCATCCTCCATTGTCCTCAGCGTTGCACTTTGGGCCTTTACACCCTCTGCTCCCAGTGGGGTCTGTTCCTGCTTGTGGGAGGCAAGTGGCTCCTCAGGAGCTTTCACAGCAGTTGAGGGGTGCTGTGACAGATCATCGTTTCACCAAGTGTCGGTTGTCTGTGGCGCAGACACAACTGAGAAGCCCTGTTCCTGCACCACCTCTGATGATTTGTCAGGAGGGATCTGTCTGCAGGTGACAAGCTTTGAGCTTTCGGGTCTTCAGATGTCTTTACTTTTGCCTTCTTGTGTGAATGCTGACTTAGCTGGGTTTTGGATACTGGATTCCTCTGGATTTTATTTTATTTTATTTTTTATTTTTATTTTTTTTAAAGATTTTATTTTTCCTTTTTCTCTCCAAAGCCACCTGTTACATAATTGTGTATTTTTTTTTTTTAGTTGTGTGTCCTTCTAGATGTGGCATGTGGGATGCTGCCTCAGCGTAGCCTGAAGAGCGGCGTTATGTCTGTGCCCAGGATTCGAACCCGTGAAACCCTGGGCTGCTAAAGCAGAGTGCGCGAACTTAACCACTTGGCCATGGGGCCGGCCCCCTCCTCTGGATTTTAAACCCACTGTTTTACTCTGTAATTGCTGTGTATCAAATTAGTGCAAACTTAGTGGCTTTAATCAACACCCATTTATTATCTTGGTTTCTGTGGTCAGGAGTCCTGGCACAGCTCCGCTGGGTCGCCTGCTCAGGGTCTCACTAGGCAGGAATCAAGGTGTCCTTCGGGCTGCCCACTCTTCTGAGGCTGCGGCTTCCCTTCCTGGCTCACTCAGGTTGTTGGCAGAGGTGTTTCCAGCGGCTGTGGGGCTGAGGCCTCGTTTCCCTCCTGGCCTTTGGTCGAGGTCGCTCTCAGCCCTAGAGGCACCTCCAGGTCCTGGCCATGTGGCCCTCACAGCATGGCAGCCACTTGCTCAAGGCCAGCAGGAGAATCTCCCTCCAGCAGGCACCTCATTGCAAGAGTGACCTTCCCATCCTGTCCCTGGCCCAGCCCACACTCAGAGGAGAGGCTTGTCCAGAGCACCCCAGCACACTGCTTTGTGTGGTATGGCCAGTGTGACCAATGAGAAGTCCAGTGCAGTCTGGTTCCCTCTCCCCCAGGCTCTTCTCTTTGTCTTCTGTGCTCTGCACTTTCCTACCCAGTGGCTGTGTGTGGTTCTTCAGCTCCTCCAGTCTGGCCCTTGGAGAACTCTCTCAGTTTGATTTCCTTGGTTATTTCTTCCCTCCATTCTGAGCACTCTGAACCTCGTATCAGGTGGACGTCGGTGTTTGCGTCCTGGAGGGTCCTCTCTGTTCAGCCTTCCAGCTCACTGGTGAGCTCTCTGCTCTGTCCACTCTGCTCTTCAGTCCAGGCATTGCCAGGTCCTCCAGTGGTTTGCTTCTGTAGCTGTGAAACCTTCTCACATTCCTCCAGTATAACCATTTTTCTTCTTTTTTTAAGTTTGTTGGCTTTCTTCCCTTCTCTTCTTATAGATTGGCTCTTCTCTTTCCTGAGTTTGATCACCGCTCTCATGTTGCTGGGTTCTCACGGCGTTGGGCTCATGTCTGTGCCTGCGCCTGTCCACAGGTGCCGTTTCTTCCCATGTCTCCATTGTAGAAACACCTCCCCGGCTGCTAGCCTGTGAACATGTTGACCATGACATGTGTGAGTGAGTGCAGATGAGCACGGCCAGCCTAGAGGAGGCCCTGGAGGGACGTGACAGCAGCTCCTTGCCCACCCCGCCTCCCGTGCATCACACCTGTGCTTTTCATGTCTGAAGGGTCCTCAGGAAAGCATGAACGTTTCGTGGTTTTAACATCCCTGTAGGTATAAACAGCAGCTGTGTCTGGCAGCAGAAAGGGAGCAGAGCCTGGAGCGTGAGAAGGTACAGCTGGAGCTGGACTGGCAACGTCGTTGTGAGGGCCTTGAGAGGGACCAGTTTCAGAGGTCTGAGGATCTGATTCGGGCTCTGACCATGGCTAAAGAGCAGGTGTGTGCTCCCCAGGGCAAACGTCACGTGGCCTTCTCCAATGTCCTTCTGGGGCGGTGCTGTGGAGGCTGGGTTTGGGCTCTGGCCAAGTTACCCTGTAAGTTTGAAAACCTCCAACTTCACTGACAACTCCACTGTTCCTTATAATAACAAAAGTGGCAGTAATAAAAGATGTCCCTGCCCTGCCCACTGGCTTTTCACAGTGTTCTATTGCATTAGCCATTTCTCTAACTGACCAGGGCTGGGACGATTCCCCCGCCTCCTGCGTGTGGCAGATGAGGGCAGCTTCAGGACTGGGCAGAGAGACCTGTGCTGGAGCCCTGGTGCCTGGCCACAGCAGGGCTGCCCAGTGCTTGTTGTCACTCTGCCGGCTCCGATGGCCACATGTTTCCCATGCCATCTCTCACCCGTGTGTCTGCTGTATGCTTCCTAGAAAGGGGTGGGAGCGGCTCTCGACCCTGAAGGCTGGCACTGCTCCCTCATAATCCTCCCAAGATAAACGGAGTCCCGTACTTTTCCCCAGGTTGCTGCCAAGCTCCAGGAGACAGAGCGAACACTGTGCGACCAGGAGGTGGTGCTGAAGGCCCTGACCCTAGAACGAGACCAGGCGGTGCAGGCACTGAGGACACGCGGGCCCCTCCCTGGGAAGGAGGTGCAGGTTAGCGCAGTGGCTGCCCTCTTCCCTGAGCCTCCCCTGCCGCCTCTCCTCCTGGGCCCTGGGAAACAGCCAGTCCCCCAGCCGCCTCTTGAGGTCTCTCATCGTGGCAGGAGGAAAAGAGCACCAGAAAGAACTGAAACTGGAGTTAGGTCTTTCCAGTTGTGCTCCTTTCTGAACGACTGTTTGCACAAACAGGGTTAAGTCTGAAGTCTTAAAGAGTTAAAGCAAATCTATACTCAGAATCCTCTTTGTATCTTTAGCATTTGAAATGTCAAAAAATCCCAAATTCAAATATCACACTGTGGCAGGTAGTTCACATAAATTGGTTGTTATTGTATTTATCCCCAGAGCTGTCAGCCAGGTCGTTTGTGTTGTGACTCTGTCCTCGCAGCCCTGATTCTGTCTGGCAGTGACATTGGTGGTTAGTGCTCCTCTGACCTGACCTGAGCCCGGCTCTGCCCAGAAACTTCATGTCTGTTAACTCTTCATCTCCAACTTGGAGGTCAGTGCCACAACGGCTGTGACATGGGGACCGTAACTAGCCTGAGCTGTCATAACTTGGAAGGCTCAGAGCTGGGGTCTGAGCCCAGACTCCCAAAGGCCCACAGTCAGAGGGGCCTGAGGGGCCACACGAGGCTGACAGGGGAGGATGGTTCTGGGCCTGTGAGTGGCTCTTATTTTTCCCTGCAGGTTTGTTTGTTTGTTTCAATGGGGTATATTTACATGCAGTGAAACACACAGATTGTAAGTGTCCAGGTCAGTGACATGAATGCACCTATGTGACCCACCCCTCTAACAAGATATAGAGCATTTGTAGCCCCCCAGAAAGTTCCCTGCACCCTCTCCTCTTGGTCCCCCTCCCATGCTCAGAGGCAGGTGCTGATCTGATTTCTCTCCCCATCAGTTCATTTCTCTGCCCATGGCTTGTCACAGGGACCCAGGCGGGTAATGTTTCCTCCAAGAGACTCCAGTGGCCCCAAGGCCATCAAACCCAGATCCTAACCAGTGTTAGGAATTTTCATAACTTGTCATTCACTCACTCATGTTTATTCAACACCCATTCTCCTAACAAGTACACCAAATCCAGGAACTTTATTTCTTCTCTGAAGAATTTTAAGTTCTAGTGCAGAGTCAGAGTTGACATTTGATGATTCTGTCTCAGTCATTCATGAGAATTGTCTGAACGCAGGAAACTGATCTGATGTTTGTGCAGACAGTTGGGCAGGCGCCGCAGCCTCGTGGAGGACATGGCCCGTGAGCATGGAGGCTCCTTCAGCTCTTGGCAACACGAGGGAGCAGGAAGGCTCATAGGGAGGGATCATTGGGTGGTCGGGACACCAGCATCCCACCCACCACGTCACCGCTGGCCACGGAGCCAGTACCTTCTTCATTTTAAACATTGGAGACAACGCTTCCTGTCCTGCTTGTGTCATTGGTTTTGTTGCTGATTTTGGAAAATTCAATGTGCCGTCAAATATGTAGAAGAAAATCTCAGGGTGCAGCAACAGGGTCCTTTGATAATTGAAGCCTGGGTCTCTCTGGAGAAAGAACTAATAGGTTAGAGCTTTATCCCAAAGACATGCGTCTTCATACATGGTGACTGAGCCATCGAGATACAACAATATGACAGTGGCTCTTTTTCTCTCCACAAAGACTTCTTCACTGACTGTTAGCCCACCAGAGCCTGACACTGACTATGGGATCCCTGTGGGTTGAATGGTGACCCCCAAAAGGATGTGTTGAAGTGCTAACCCCCAGGACCTCAGAATGTGACTTTATTTGGAACTGGAAGTGTTGCAGATGTAATTAGTCAAGATGAGGTCACACTGGAGTAGGGTGGGCCCCTGATCTAACATGACTGCTGTCCTAATAAAAAGAACACCACGTGAGGCAGAGACACAGGAGGAAGGCCCTGTGACGACGGAGGCAGAGACTGGAGTGATGTGGCCACAAACCAAGGAACACCCCAGATTGCCGGTAAACCTCCAGAAGCTGGAAGGGGCCAGGAAGGATTCCATCCAGAGTCTCAGAGGGAGCATTTGCTTCCACCTGAGGTATGTTCGCCAAGGTCTGCATCACAATCATGCCTGCACGTCACGTGTCTTGCCTCAGTGTCTGCTGTCCACCCAGGGCTCCTGCGGGAAGCCGTGTTGCCCGGCTGCTGTGAAATCTGGGAAATCCACCATGAGAGGCGCCTTCCAGAGCAGCACCAGGGGGTGGCTAACCTGATCCTGTCTCAGACTCTGTCTTCCTGGTTCAGTGGCCCGTTTTCTCAATAGTCTGACCTGTCCCTTTGTGAAAAGTTACTCACCCAGTTGTCTGGGGTGATAGAGCCGCTGAAACCCTCAGGAAGACTTTCCAGGGGTGCCTCCTTTTCCCCACCTGTCCAGCTGTGAGCCTGCAGGGAAGGGCGAATGCAGATGCGAGCTGCATGTTTCTGGTCCGTCCATTCTGGCCCTGCTTGCACAGCATGCACGTCACCAAATCTTTGAGAGCGCAGATGTTCAGCTTGTGTCTCCTTGCTGGGTGTGATTTGTGCTCGGTACAGAGTGGAAGGCGGCCTTGGGGCCTCTGGCTTCAATGTCCTTGGCTGGCACTCGTCCTGTAGTCAGCATTTTGGGCAGGCCAGGGTGTGCTGGGGGTTGAGCATCCGAGGGCTGAGCTGGAATTCACCTGAAGAAGGTGTTATCTAGCCAGCTGTGCTGAGAAAACACTTCACTCCTGTGAGCAAATGTGGACAGCGACAGTTCCCTTTGTACAGGTGCACTGCAGGGTCCGTCAACTTGGCCGTCCTCAGAAACCCTGGGGAGCCTATGAGAATACACACCTCTGGGTCCCAGCCAGACTTCACAGCCTGGACACCTTAGGGGTCAAGCTCCAGAAGGTGTCTGTTAACAAGCCCCCTGGGAGATCTGTGGTCATCTGATTTGTGAGCACTGGTATGGAAACTGCATTCCTTCGAGGTTCCAAAGAGGAGAGATGTGGAGGAGCTGGCCCTGGCCTTCAGGAATTACCCCTGGTCTTGGGGAGGTCACAGCAGGTCGTCTTTGCATGGGTCATATGTCACACAGGTACCTTCTGTGGGGCACAGACAGAAAACAAATGTTTCTTTTTTCATCAATGCCCCCTGCTCCCCCGCCCTTTTTTCTTTGTTGCATTTTCCCCGGCCAGGCTGGCAGTTAAAAAGAATACATTTGTCTCCAAGCACCAGCTCAGCAGGTCAGGGAGGCCTCTCACTGGCTGATAGCTTTGTTCAAGAAACAAAGAGCCTTGGAAATGGTTTCGGCATCAGGAACATCCATGCCCCACCCATCCCATGGAGAACGAGGGGAGCCCCACCTTTGGTCCTGTGCAGAGGGAGCCTGGCTGTGGGACCCAGAGGTGAAGCGAGTAGGGCACAGGAGAGCAGCCCCCCGAGACTGCGAACACAACCAGGTGTGCCAGCCTTGATCGGAGAGATGTGCATTCAGGACCAGGACCAGAGGTGGGGGAGGATGCTGTGCAAGTTTCTGGCTGACACAATTGTCAACCTTCAAAAACAGAAACCAGTTTAAGAGGCAGAGTGTTTATTTGGGATCAGAACGTTGCAGTTTGGGGAGCACAGATTCAGACAGAAACTCAAAAAGTGTCCTGCTAGGGAGTAAAAGTCAGTGGTTTTTAAAGGCAAAGGGAGATTGCATTACAAAGAATGTTAATTGGAGTTGGAGGCAGAGAGCTAGTCTTGGCTAAACATTGATTGACTATTGATTCTGTCTTCCGAAAGTCCACCATCCTCAGTCTTTGTGATCAGGATGTATGTTCTCCTGTTGACGGCTTAAACAATGGCTTGTTTGTTGCCGTTTTGGCCAGTCCAAAGGTTTGGCCCAGTCCAAGGTTCAAGACAGCAAGGCAGTTTCTCTGGAAAGGCAGCTCCGACCCCGTTTAAAATGGCTCCACTAATATCCATTTTGACACAATGGCATGAAGTTTTGAATTGATTCCCGCAGGTAACAGCAGAACACCTGGACTTCCCTCTCCCAGGGCGTTAATGACCATTAACGAGTTAACGGGGTGACCACGTGGGAAAACTGTAGGTGTCAGTAAGCCGTCAGCATGAGCAGTGAGGCCAGAGGAGCCAGGACTGGAAGGCGAAGCAGGCTGCAGAGCAGGGCGAGTAGATGGTGATAAATAAATAACAAGCAATAGGATATTGGAGCATATGAGGAAGCCATTTAGTATAAAAACAGTTCGACCTGAACTTATTTTTCCAAAAGGGACTGATGTGGCTGTTGAGCGTGCATTGTTTATCTGCTTTAAGTATTTACTGTGTTCCAGGACAAGAACAATGCCCTTAAAGATAAGGATGTAACTTCTCCTGCACTGGCATTTCCTTGAGGATGAGCATCTCTTCTAGGCTAGGGATTGATTGCTGACCTGCTGCACTAACCTTGAGACCACCAACTTGCTGTGTTCACAGAATCGCTGTGCCAGCAAAGCAGTCTCATGACTATTGTAAAAGGGACATTCCAGTCATATGTGATACGTGCTCTTTGACGGTATGTAACCACTCCCCACTTCTTTGGAGTGCTCCATTCCTTTGCGGAAGGACTCTCCCAGACTATATGGTCCTTAGATCTGGCTCAGAATAAATTCACTGCAGCTTTGATTTATAGATTGGTTATGGATTATTTGCATCGACAGTGGCTTGAGGACAGGTATTGAAAGGCTGGGGACTGTGATTAGCAGAAGAAAAGATAGCTTCATTCTGGAAGTAAAAGTCATATGTGGCCGACTGCAGAGATTTTTAAATTTTAGTTTAATGTTGTGGTCTTTGGAATCAAGGAGGCCGGGGTACAGCCCAGCTCAGCTCCTCTCTGGTGTAGAGCAGGCTGCTCAGCCCCCTGGAGCCTCTGTAGTGCTGTTGTGGGAAATCGGTGAGCATTGTCTGTGACGTGCTTAGCCAGTGCCTGGAAGATGACATCATGACTGAGTTGAACCGTGGTAGCTGTGTGTGTGTCTGTAACTGGGGTGGTGACAGCTGGCGGTCAGGAGTCGGCCCTGATGATCTCAAGTCTCAGTTTCCTCATCCCTCTGTTGGGTACCCCGTACAGCGAGTTAAAGGAGATGCTGTGATCCAGCACTGATCCACTGCTGGCACTTAGGAAGCTCAGCAAATGTGAGCCAGAGTTATTCATTATGAAGAAGAAAAGAGAAATCATGCTCAGTCTGACCACTCAGACATTTTGGTATATTTCCTTCTGGTTATCTGTATTCATATATCTCCTGTGTTTTCCTGTGTACATACTATTTTTGTGTAGCTCAGGTCAGCCTTCTTAATTTAATTCTCTTTTCTTTTTTTTTCTTTTTTTTATTTTTTTTAAAGATTTTATTTTTTCCTTTTTCTCCCCAAAGCCCTCCAGTACATAGTTGTGTATTCTTCGTTGTGGGTCCTTCTAGTTGTGGCATGTGGGATGCTGCCTCAGCGTGGTTTGATGAGCAGTGCCATGTCCGCGCCCAGGATTCGAACTAACGAAACACTGGGCCGCCTGCAGCGGAGCGCGCGAACTTAACCACTCGGCCACGGGGCCAGCCCCAATTTAATTCTCTTTTCAATTCTATGATAAATATTTCTCATGTCATTAAAATTCTTCAAAAACACAACTTAAATGGTTGTGTATTTTATCACTTGGCATGCCATGGTTTACTCAGCCATTCTCTTACTGATGGCCATGTAGATTATTGGTGTGGGCATGTTTGTGCCTCCCTCTGCACTGGCGAGAAGGTTGCGTTCTGTTGGAGAGTCTCGGTCCCTCTCAGCGAGGCTGGTAAAGGCCCTGCTTCTGTGAGCCCAGGCTGATTTGTTCTGGTGGTGAGCAGGGAGGAGCTAGAGACAAAGTAGGAAGTCAGAAAGTTGCATCTGGGATCTGGGCCTGGAGTGTGGAGTTGGAGCACATGTGCTGCATCCTTTGGGATGACTTTCCTTCCTGCGTTGGGCATCAGTGCCCCTTTGGGGATTTGTGTACTCTCGAGTCTCTCGCTGTCATTTTTGCAGAATCCTTTCACTGACTGTAGGATTCTGAGATGATGGGGTTTTTCCTTTCTCCATGTCAAAGATATTGTTCCCCTGACTTCCAGATTTCATTGGTTTTCATGGGAAGTCAGTGATAATTCTTGTATTTGTACCTGTGTGTAATGCGCTGTGTCTTTTTTCTCTGATCGCTTTTAGGAGTTTTCTCTGTGGTTTTGTAGTGATCTGGTTATGATGTGCTCTTGATGTGATTTTCTTGGTGTTTCTCTTGCTTTGGATTTGTTGGACTTCTTGGATCTGTGGACTTATATTTTCATCAAATTTGAAAACCTTTTGGCCAACATGTTATGAAATACTTTTTCTGCCCCCATCATTTATCTGGGTTCTTGTTTCCTCGTGCGTGAGACTGCTTCACCTGTTCCACAGGTCACTAAAGCTCTATGAGTTTTTTTCCTTTTTGGTCTCTCTCTCTCTGTGCTTGAGTTTCAATACTATTCCTATGTACTTACTTTCACTGGTCTTTTCTCCTGCAATGTCTGATCTGCTCTTAATCTAGTCCTATCCTGTCAATTTTTTATTTCAGATACTGTATTTTCCATCTCTGCAGATGCTATTTGTTTCTTTTTAAAATATCTTCCATTTCTCTTCTTCTTCTGTTCATGTCTTTCTTTAAATCCTTGCGTATTTTTATGATAATAACTGCTTTAAAGTCCTTGACTCTCAGCCTGATGTCTTCCTGGCTCATCCATGTTGTTGCATGGGTCAGAACATCGTTCCTTTTTACAGCTGAATACTATTTCATCATATTCCATTTGTTCATCTCTTCATCCATTGGTGGACAGTTGAATGTTTCCACATTTTGGCTACTATGAATAATGCTGCTCTGAACATGTGCGTACAAGTTTCTGTGTGGACAAACATTTTCAGTTCTCTTACGCATACAGCTAGGAGTGAAATTGCTGGGCCATAGTACCTTTGTGTTTAACTTTGTGAGGAGCTGCCAGACTGCTTCCCACAGCAGCTCCATGCGTTCACCTTTTACAGTATACAAGGGTCCCATTTCCTCTACATCGTCACCAACACTTGTTACTGTCTGTCTTTTTTATTATGGTCACCCTAGTGGGTGACTAATGGCTTTTTGACTGAAAAGGAAGGGTCCCCAAATATCCCAATAAAAGTTTCCTTTGAGAAACATCAATCTTTTCTTTGTGAAACCTGGAAGAAAAAGAGGTGTTTTCATACGTCTGTCAATTTAGAAAGGATGGTCACTGTCTGCCTTTTGTAGCTGTTACCATTTTCTTTTTCTTTTTTTGTATTTGAAGATGCTTCCAAGCCATCATGAAGGAGAAATAAGTAAAAGTTTTCCATCTAGTGAGATCCAGCGGCTACAAGAGCAGAACACAAGCTTGCGAAACACTATTGCACAAATGAGGAAAGAAATGGAAACTCTAAGTGATCAAATTCTTCCCTCTGCGCAGTCAGGAAGAGAGACCTCAAATACAAGCCTGCCTGATTCAAAGACAGCAGCTGATGCCCCCACCCCTGGTGAGCGAGGGAGAGACAGAGAGGAAGCAGGGCATGGAGGGATGAGGAAAGAGCTCTATTGGGTCCAAAATAGGTCTCACTTGGAGTCTTATAAATGTACATCTCCTGGAGTAAATCACTTCAAAGCATGACAGCTGCTTTTCTCCAAGAGAAGGAATCTTAGGTCAGTTTTTACATATATGATTAAAAGGTTTTATTGGTGAAGTGGAAGAAAAAAAGTGAAGGCTATGTACCAGCCACACTTAAAAACCAGAGTCCAACTTGGACAAGGGCTGGGCTAGGTCTGCGCTCTCCCAGCGTGTGGGCAGCATGGAGCTGGTGGATGCCAGGCCTTTCTTCATGGGAGTGTCCCGGACTGTGGTGAAGTGGGTGTCCCGGTCCGTGCCGTGTCAGCGTGGGGGCCGTGTGGTTGTGATGGAGGGACAGCAGCCTGCAAAGGTGGCTCCATGCTCAGCACACATTGTTACATCTGTACATAAAGCCTCGAGGGATTGCGAGAGCGCTCATGTCTGCTGATTATTGAGGCCTCCTTGGAGAGCACACGAGCTGGCCTCTGGACGCCATGCTCTGGCCACCAAGGGGAGGGTGGCACATAGATAGCATGGGGATAGCTGTGAGGGTCCGGCAGGGAAGAGGGGTGGTCAGTGAAGTGAGTGGGCACAAGCCAGCGAGAGCCCCTGCCTCAGTGATAGAGGACGAGCGTGTAAATGTGTGTGCCTGTATGTGCATGGGTATTTACCGGATTTTTTTGGCAGATTATGTTCTGGCCCTGGAAGCAGAAATACGAACTCTGAAGCACAAATTTAAAACCCTGGAAGAACAACTAGAAGTGTTATATCCTTCAAAGAAGTCCACATCTTATCCTGATGTTCAACCTAGTGTCCATAGCTCAACAGAAACCGCTGGTAAGAGTCTGTGTCTCATTGTGTTGTGTGCTCCGTCTGGTGACACTATCTTTTTTCAAAATTGAGTATAGCTCGAGGATTATTGCAGACATCTGGTAACCCATTACCAGTACCCAGGAACCCCCTAGTCCTCCTACCAGAGTCAACCACTGTCCTGACTCCTCACCCTGCAGTTGAGTTTTCTGTTTTCATATCAGTGGATTTATACGGTGTGTACACTTTTTGTCTGGCTTTGTTTGATTACAATGTGTTTTAGTTGACAGCCAGCCCAGACTGTTCTCCAAAGTGCTCACACCCGTGTACTCACTCATCAACAGTCACGAGAGCCGTCACTCTGGCCCCCCACTGACACATAGCATACTCACTCGTTCTAACCGAAGCTGTCCTAGTGGGTCTGTAGTACATCCCATTATGGTGTTTTTTTAATTGAGTTTATAATAGTTTACATCAATGTGAGAGTTCAGTTGTACATTATTGCTTGATTATCACCACATAAGTGCTCCCCTTCACCCCCATGCCCACCCTCCACCCCCCTTCCCCTGGTAACCACTGAGCTATTTTCTTTGTCCGTGGGTTTGTTCATATTCCACATGTGAGTGAAATCATCTGGTGTTTGTCTTTCTCAGGCTGGCTTATTTCGCTTAGCATAATTCCCTCCAGGGCCTTCCATGTTGTTGCAAGTGGGATGAATTTGTCTTTTTATATGGCTAAGTAGTATTCCATTGTATATATATATGCCACATCTTCTTTATCCAATCATCAGTCAGTGGGCACTTGGGTTGTTTCCATGTCTTGGCTATTGCGAATAGTGCTGCAGTGAACATAGGGGTGCATATGTTACTTTGGATCATTAATTTCAGATTGTTTGGTTAGATACCCAGTAGTGGGATAGCTGGGTACGGTAGTTCTATTTTTAGCTTCTTGAGGAATCTCCATACTGTTTTCCATAGTGGCTGCGCCAGTTTGCATTCCCACCAGCAGTGTATTAGGGTTCCCTTTTCTCCACACCCTCTCCAACATTTGTTATTTTCAGTCTTAGTGATTATAGCCATTCTAACAGATTTCAGGTGGTATCTTAGTGTAATTTTGATTTGCATTTCCCTGATGATTAGTGATGTTGAACATCTTTTCATGTGTTTATTGGCCATCTGTATATCTTCTTTGGAAAAATGGCTGTTCATATCCTCTGCTCATTTTTTGATCAGGTTGTTTTTTTTTTCATTGTTCAGTTGTGTGAGTTCCTTATGTATTATAGAGATTAACCCCTTGTCAGATATATGATTTGCAAATATTTTCTCCCAATTGGTGGGTTGTCTCTGTTTTGATTCTAGTTTCTTTCGCCTTCCAGAAGCTCTTTTGTCTGATGAACTTCCACTTGTTTATTTTTTCTTTTGTTTCTCTTGTCTGAGAAGACATGTATTCGAAAAGATTCTTTTTAGTTCAGTGTCAAAGAGTGTACTACCTATAGTATCTTCCAGGAGTTTTATGGTTTCAGAACTTATCTTCAAGTCTTTGATCCATTTTGAGTTTATTTTTGGGTATGGCCTGAGATAATGGTCCACTTTCATTCTTTTGCATGTGGCTGTCCAGTTTTCGCAACACCATAGATTGCAGACACTATCTTTTCTCCATTGTATGTTCTTGGCATGTTTGTCAAAGATTAGCTGTCCATAGATGTGCGGTTTTATTTCTGGGCTTTCAGTTCTGTTCCATTGATCTCTGTGCCTGTTTTTGTACCAGTACCATGCTGTTCTGATCACTATGACTTTGCAGTACATTTGGAAATCAGGGATTGCGATGCCTCCAGCTTTGTTCTTTTTTCTCTGGATTGCCTTAGCAATTCAGGGTCTTTGGTTGCCCCACGTGAATTTTAGGATTCTTTGTTCTATTTCCGTGAAGAATGTCATTGGGATTCTGATTGGGATTGCATTGAATCTGTAGATTGCTTTGGGTAGTATGGACATTTTAACTATGTTTATTCTTCCAGTGCATGTGCATGGAATCTCATTCCATCTCTTTATGTCATTATCAATCTCTTTCAATAATGTCTTATAGTTTTCATTGTATAAATCTTTCAAGTCCTTGGTTAAATTTATTGCTAAGTATTTTATTATTTTAGTTACAATTGTAAATGGAATTGTATTCTTGAGTTCTCTTTCTGTAAGTTCATTATTGGAGTATAGAAAAGCAACTGATTTCTGTAAGTTCGTTTTGTACCCTGCAACTTTACTGTAGTTGTTAATTATTTCTGTTGGTTTCCTCATGGATTCTTTGGGGTTTTCTTTATGTAAGATCATATTGTCTGCAAACAGAGAGAGTTTCACTTCTTCACCCCCTATTTGGATTCCTTTTATTCCTTTCGTTTGCCTAATTGCTCTGGCCAAAACTTCCAGTACTATGTTGAAAAAGCATAGTGATAGTAGTGACAAGTGGGCATCCCCGTCTTGTTCCTGTTCTCAGGGGGATGGCGTTCGGTTTTTGTCCTTTGAGTATGATATTGGCTGTGGGTTTGTCATATATGTTTTTATGTTGAGGTAATTTGCTTCTATCCCCATTTTGTTAAGAGTTTTTATCATAAATGGCTATTGGATCTTGTCAAATGCTTTCTCTGCATCTGTTGAGATGATCATGTAGTTTTTATTCCTCAATTTGTTGATGTGGTAGATCACATTGATTGATTTGCAGATGTTGAACCATCCCTGTGTCCCTGGCATGAATCCCACTTGATCATGATGTATGATCCTTTTGATGTATTGCTGAATTCCAATTGCCAAAATTTTGTTGAGGATTTTTACATCTATGTTCATCAGCAGCATTACCCTGTAGTTTTTTCCTTTTTCATCTTGTCCTTGTCAGGCTTCGGTATCAGAGTGATGTTGGCCTTGTAGAATGTGTTAGGAAGTGTTCCATTTTCCCTAATTTTTTGGAATAGTTTGAGAAGGATAAGTATTAAATCTTCTCTGAAAGTTTGGTAGAATTCCCCAGGGAAGCTGTCTGGTCCTGGGCTTTTATTCTTTGGGATGCTTTTGATTGCTGTTTCAATCTCTTTCCTTGTGCTTGGTCTATTCAGATTGTCTGTTTCTTCTTGATTCAGCTTTGGGTGGTTGTAAGAGTCTAAGAATTTATCCATTTCCTCTAGGTTATCCATTTTGTTGGCATACAGGTTTTTGTGGTATTCTCTTATAATCTGTTGTATTTCTGTGGAGTCTGTTGGTATTTCTCCTCTTTCATTTCTAATTTTGTTTATCTGAGCTTTCTCTCTTTTTTTCTTTGTAAGTCTGGCTAGAAGTTTGTCAGTTTTATTTATCTTCTCAAAGAACCAGCTCTTTGTTTCATTGATCCTTTCTACTGCATTTTTTGTTTCAATAGCATTTATTTCTGCTCTGACTTTTATTGTTTCTCTCCATCTGCTGACTTTGGGCTTTGTTTGTTCTTCTTTTTCAAATTCAGTTAGGTGTCATTTGAGATTGTTTATTTGGCATTTTTCTTGTTTGTTAAGGTGTGCCTGTATGCGATGAATTTCCCTCTTAATACGGCTTTTGCTGTGTCCCATATGAGTTGGTATGGTAAGTTTTCATTTTCATTTGTCTCCAGATATATATATATATATTTTTGAGGAAGATTAGCCCTGAGCTAACATCTGCTGCCAATCCTCCTCTTTTTGCTGAGGAAGACTGGCCCTGAGCTAACATGTGTGCCCATCTTCCTCTACTTTATATGTGGGATGCCTACCACAGGATGCCTTGCCAGGCAGTGCCATGTCCCCACCTGGGATCTGAACCCATGAACCTCAGGCCGAGAAGCGGAACATGCGAACTTAACTGCTGCACCACCGGGCTGGCCCGTCTCCAGATATTTTTTGATTTGTCCTTTAATTTCTTCAATGATCCATTGCTTGTTCAGTAGTATGTTGTTTAGTCTCCATATCTTTGTCCCTTTCTCAGCTTTTTTCTTGTAATTAATTTCTAGCTTTATAGCATTGTGTTCAGAAAAGATGCTTGTTATTATTTCAGTCTTCTTAAATTTATTAAGGCTTGCCTTGTTTCCCAACATATGGTCTATCCTTGAGAATATTCCATGCCCACTTGAGAAGAAGTGTATTCTGCTGTTTTTAGATGGAGTGTTCTATATATGTTTATTAAGTCCAACTGGTATAGCGTTTCATTTAATTCCACTGTTTCCTTGTTGATTTTCTGTCTGGATGATCTATCCATTGATGTGAGACAGGTGTTGAGGTCCCCTACTATTATTGTGTTATTTTTAATATCTTCTTTTAGGTTCGTTAATAGTTGCTTCATGAACTTTGGTGCTCCTGTATTGGGTGCCATAGATATTTATAAGCATTATTTCTTCTTGATGGAGTGTCCCTTTGATCATTATATATTGCCCCTTTGTCTCTCTTTACCTGTCTTATCTTGAAGTCTACCTTGTCTGATATAAGTATTGCAACACCTGCTTTCTTTTGTTTGCCATTAGCTTGGAGTATCATCTTCCATCCCTTCACTCTGAGCCTGTATTTGTCACTGGAGCTGAGATGTGTTTCCTGGAGGCAGCATATTGTTGGGTCTTGTTCTTTAATCCATGTCGCAACTCTGTCTTTTTATTGGAGAATATAATCCATTTATGTTTGGGGTGATTATTGATGTATGAGGGCTTAATGCTGCCATTTTATCACTTGTTTTCTGGTTTTCCTGTATTTCCTTTGTTTCTCGTGCTGTGTGTTTTGCTCTGCCTATTGAATTATGTAGTTTTTTGTGTTGTGTTTCTTTGTTTTCTCTTTATTTATTATTTGTGTCTCTGTTGTGCTTTTTTGTTTAGTGGTTACCCTGAGGTTTGTATTAAGAATCTCATGTATACTCCATTTCTTTCTCTTTTTTTTTGAGGAAGATTAGCCCTGAGCTAACTACTGCCAGTCCTCCTCTTTTTGGTGAGGAAGCCTGGCCCTGAGCTAACGTCCGTGCCCATCTTCCTCTACTTTATATGTGGGACGCCTACCACAG